TGCATAAGCCCGCTGGATAGCTTTTTCAAAGCAGAAGGGCGGGCTAAAAACGCTGACTTTGGCCATTGTGATTGTGAGACATTAATAACCGCGTGTTTTAAAGTAGAAAAAGATTTTTCCTTGGTATTCTTGAATGTTCTTTCGTTATCATATTTCCTACCTGGTATATACAAATGAGTGCACATTAAAGTACCAATGAAATTTCTTACCTGACCGGCCGAGAGTTGAACCTCGGACATCTCTGCTGGGATCCCATAACGTTGAGCACACGACTACCAAAATGTAATCGGAAGGTCGCTCCAGCATTCCCAGATCATTCCAACGGAACGCTGGGACGTTCCCAGTTTTGTTTAGGGATGTAACATCTTTAAGATTAGTATGTTAGGTAAGATTGTTACAATACTATGTGAATCCCCTAAACATAAATATGTTAGTTAAGAGCTTTGGAACAGTAAGTTCACTTTCTAAACACTAGTATGGGCTTACACTGATAAACCAACTGTTCAATGCAGTAGTAGTTCACTTGCAAGTGTTAAACTCGGTATCTGTGCTCTTGTAAGTGTTCAACTGTCCTGTCATACACTTCTCTAGATTGGGCGCTTACTGTGACGGAAGTGTTCAACAGAGGAGTTGCACACATACAAGTGCACAAATACCGAGTTGAACACTTGCAAGTGTACTACTACTGAATTGAACACTTTCAAGTTTTGATCTTGCGGTTGCACAATTACAAGCGTTGAGCAGTTGAACGCTTGGTTTATCAGTATAATAGTGTCCAATAAGAGTAAAGTATTGGTGTGTTAACAAAAAGCTAGACTGCCCTTTTCTGGGTGACAACCTGACCCTACTCATTACACAACATGTCGTTCTTCAAATGTTTACATGGAGTGATGTCTTAAATGGCTTATTCATTATGGGCCCCGCACTATGTACAGATGCGGGTTTTCAACGACAAGGGGCGCGGCGTGGTCGCCACACGCCACTTCCCGCGCGGCAGGCTGCTCCTGCAGTACAAGGGCGAGCTGCTCAGCAAGCGGCAGGGCCTTCAGAGGGAGCAAGACCTGCCCGAGGAGAGCGGCTCGTTTCTTTACTTCTTCCCCTTCAAGGGCAAGCAGTACTGGTAAGTACACTTCGGTGCGCCCTAACGAAAGAGTCCGATCTGCTTTGCTTCTGAACCAAAAGAGTCCGATCTGCTTTGCTTCTGAACCAAAAGAGTCCGATCTGCTTTGCTTCTGAACCAAAAGAGTCCGATCTGCTTCGCTGCGAAACCAAAAGAGTTCGATCTGCTTCGCTGCCAAACCAAAAGAGTCCGATCTGCTTTCGGCGCTCGTCGACCGCTCCGCATAAACTCTATGATATCTCGAAGCTTGAGAGGAAAAGGGTATATATTT